TACCCAGAAGGTTGGGTTAAACATTTAACCCAACCGCTGGGTCAAAACAGCCCAATTGCTGGGTTTGTCCCTATTTTACCCAGCACTGGGTTGTATTTAACCCAGCATTTTTTAGAGTGTAATATGCCAAGTAAAGTTTAATTATAATTTTTATATCAGTATGTCTCGAGTTATCTGTCAGTAAATATGTTAATAGATTTGAACTATACCTAGTATGAAATAAATGTATTTTAAATATATTACTTTTTTACTAGGGGAAAATAAGCAAAATCTGCAAATTTCTGTCACTGTTTGGATGTAGGATTTAGTAAAACACCCACAGATGAAACGGAAAACGTCTGGGCCATGTTTGCATTTTCTTCTGTCACTGGTCATAACTATAACCTTGAAATCAGGATTAGGCATTAAATCATGTCTTCAGAATCATTCATGCATGTGAAAATGAGCTGAGAATTGAATAAACAGTTTGTAATCTGGCTCAGAGGAAGACAGGAGTCTTTGTGACATTTTTTTCTGCTGATTAACGGACAATACAAGATTTCTTCACCTTACAAATTGTGGTCAAAAAAAAAAAATCTACAAAATGCATCACATTTTGTGAGAAAGTGTGACATTCAATCAAAACAGGCACTATTTTTTGAATCAGCACCTAAAAATTAGTAAGAAACAAACATTGGATTTCATTCAGCAAATATGATGCAGGCCAGTGTAATGGGCCTTTTCGTATTAATGCATGTTTATGGTCTTACTTACGTGAATGCCTTTTCAAACTTTGGAACCATAAACTGATAAATATCAAATTACCTGCATAATCACCATTTTGGGGTGTATTGACTGACAAATTTGTTAAAACTAGCTACATTTCATGGAACATTAATTGCTTTGAACAAAAGTCATGGGAGGTTTGTGGAAAATGTCAAACACTTGTGAGACTGATCACTGGTCAGCATGAGTCAATAAATGTTTTTTTGTTTTTTCCTCCATGATACAGGCCCTTGTTGCATACAAGGAAAAATTTAAATCGCATCATATGACCCCTTTAAGTCACGAATGCCTGTGTAGAAACGTGCACAGGGTGAGTTGGATTGGTTCTGTTTCAGTTTGTTATCATTGCTTGCCAATTACATCACATTGTCTCACCAAATAAAACCGAAATTGCCCACAACTGCATGACAACAGCATTACCTTACTTTTCCATAAAGGATCTGGAACGGTGTTGTTTAAAAAAAAAAGTGTAATTGAAGTAAAGCTGAAATAAAACAAATATTAGAAGAAAAACATAAAAAAAGCAAAATATTATGTTGGAAATAAAACAAATATTACTGTAGTATTTTTACAAGAAAATACTATTTCAGTCTTTCTAATTCAAAATGTGTTACTTGCTGTTCATTAATTGTGAAATTTACTAGCAATTTCTGAGTGAAACTTGTTTCTATACTATTTATTTTTTCATTGTTTCTATACTATTTTTTTCATTGGTAGCGAAATAAGTTGAAGTACTAAAATTAAAATAACGCTAAATAAAATAAATGTGAAACTTGTTTCTATACTATTTATTTTTTCATTGTTTCTATACTATTTTTTCATTGGTAGCGAAATAAGTTGAAGTACTAAAATTAAAATAACGCTAAATAAAATAAATAAAAATAAAAACTAAATAAAAAGCTAAATATAAATATTAAATATACATTAAATATTAATAAATGGGAACATTTCAAAAACTCAAAAATAAATTAAAATTAAAACAAAATTTAAAAAAGCTAAATCAAAATATAAATAAATACAGTAACACTTACTGTGCAGTAACACAATAAGGTTGCATGAGTTAAAATTAGTTAATGTACTACTAACTAACATTAATTGAGAATGAGTAGAAAATGATAAAATTAACATTAACTAATATTACTAAATGCTTTCTAATATTTGTGTTTGTTTGTTCATGTTAACAAATGGAACCTTATTGTAAAGTGTTATCAAAAACACTACAACAGTAAGGGAATGAGGACGGAGACCGTCAAGATCC